TCCTGTCAGTTCAATAAACCATGTAGGTAAGTAATCAAAGAAAAACAAAAACCCCATCAGCTATTATATCAGGGACATGCGCAGGGCTACAAACTTAAATACGAAATTCCATAGCCACCTATTATGCCAATTTCAATGAAATCTACTTTAGAACTCATGTTTAGTTTGAGAGAAAACTAGAAATCGGTAGATGTCACTGAACAAAAAAAATTGAAAATTTAAAATTTCTTTAATGTTTTTTTTTTTAGTTTAATTTATCTCATGTAAAGTAACAGTTTTTTCCTCTTATTTTAATAGTTGCAGAAATTTTGAGCATCTAACATGAATCAGGTAAAAATGAATATTTTGATGTATGGCAGTTTATAATTTTGGTTTACTAAATTAAAGCCTAAATTTGTGGTTTTATGTTATTTTATTATAAAAATTAATAAATTAGTATATTATGAGTTTTATAAGAAGCATTTTGTCGGATGCACGGGTCATAAAGCAGTAAGTGCGACAAAATTCCTTAGAAACTAGATATCATACAGTATTTTTTCTACTTTGTACTTTTTTAAATAAAAAAATTAAAATTTCGGAATGTAGGGAATATTCAGATTATTCAATTTCAGTTTCAATTTTTAAGAGGAAAAATCGCTATCGAGGGGTTTGTTTATGTCAAAAAAATACTCAAAAAATTCAATTGATTCAATTTCAGTTTATTTTTAAATCGGTATTTCATTTATTTTATTCTCGAGGGAATACAGTACCAGATTATTAGTCACAAATGCGGAAATAAAGCGTCACTTTATTTCCTGACGAGCAGAATTATTTTAAACTCCTACATGACTTTTTTCTTTATTTTCACTTTCACCCTTGTTAGATTTTTGCTCTTCTTTTTCTTCCCCGCCATTCCATTCTTGTAATTCCCCTGAACAAAATATCGCATAGAATATACCACAACCGATGTAAATCCCAGCAGCTACCCAAAACACTTTCCTCCACAAAATCGGATCTTTCTAAAATTGCAAATATAAAATTGTTATTACTTTTTCTAATTACGTTTTACCTTATCACTGCCAAAAAATTGGACCGATAACGGCCCCAAAATCGAAAAGATCGTAGCCGTACAATTGGTAATACCCAACAAGGTTCCAGCATGATTAGGTGCCAAGTCTACTAAATTTACCATACACCCGGAGTATCCTAAACCAGTAGAACCGACAGCAAGAATTAGTAAAACGGTACCTAAGTCTTTCTGCGAACTGTCGATAAGGCCAAGGCTAAATAAAGCTACTGCCGGAATTAGAGTACCCAAAAAACTGAAAATTTTTCTAGTGGTTCCAATTGTAAAGATTTTTTTCGAAATTAGTCTATCGGCGACTGGAGCACTTGCCAGACCTATTAAAAACATGGCGACGTAAGGTAGGGCTGATAATTGACTATTCTAAAATTATTAGTAAGATACAAGACCTAGCAAATGGTACCACTTACAGAATTGATATCGAAACCCATAATATTACTCATGTAGCTGGGGATTTCAGTCAAAAGGGTAAAACCGCCCCAACTTATGCCACAGGACAGTACCAAAACCGCCCAAACGGGCACCGATGTTGCAATTTTTCGCCACGGCGTTGGTACTTTCTAAACAAAATTAAGCAAAATGACCATAAATACAATTTCGTTGTTTTTACCTTGTTTTCACTGGTACTATAAGAATTACTACTTTCGATATATTCTCGTTCTTCGTCCGAAATACTGCGGTGGAGTGCCGGCGAGTTGGCCACAAAAAATGCAAAAATGCAAGCCCATACAATACCAAGCGCTCCATAGATGTAAAACGCTGAAGGCCACCC